GAAGGAAGGAAGGAAGGAAGGAAGGAAGGAAGGAAGGAAGGAAGGAATTAGCCACAAAACTCAGATGACTACAAGGTGGCAGCAAAGGGCCAGCATTTTTGCTGCCATCTAGTGGCATATTGGGTTTTGCAGTCCGGATTTGATCTTTGCCTTGGAAATAGATTTTGAGTGTGAGGAAAATAGAGAAAAACCATTTTGATTTTTATGTCAGATGAATTGTGAGAATCAGATTTTTGCTACCGATGCCCAAACAACTTAGCTGTGTGTAAAATGTATCTTGACTTGGATAGCAGTATTTTTGTCTCTCCCTAAAACAGGAAAACCTTTGATGTTCCACAGGTGAGACAAGATAAGCGGGAAAGAAATCTAATAAATAAATAAGCTTAAATTTGGCATACTAGTTATTTATTAGCTGCACTATAAGGTCAAGTAGAGTGTAGTATTATATGCAGTGATGGGTTCCTCCCGGTTCCGCCCGGTTCCACCAAGCCGGTAGCGGTGACGATATGATGTCACCGAACCGGTTCTCTTTGTTCGGGAGCTGGGCCCTCCCACCCCCCACATTATTCTTACCTTTTATTTGGCCCCACCCCCATCCTATGGGGGACTCAGGAGGCACCTGGGACTCAGGTGCCTCCTGAGTCCCAGCTGATCGGCCAGAAGGAAAAAACCTGTTTAAACTCTTGCTGTGGGGCTTCAAAGGGACGCCGTACAGCTGATCAGTGTTAAAAGGCAGTGTGGTGGTAGACCAGTGTGCTCGAAAAACAAATGGGTAGAGCGGGACGCTCCAAAAACAAATGAGTAGACCGGTACAGCTCTGCAAGCAGTTAAAAGCCTGGTAGACCAGTACCTCTGCTAAATCCTAAAGAATTGTCACATGACCATCAAACCACGCCCATAGAATAAGCCACACCCACAGAACCAGTAGTAAAAAACTTTAGAACCCACCCCTGATTAAATATCACCCTTCGGTTTTCCAAATAAACATTTGGAAGGGATTTTTTGTTTCATGGAAAAAAGGGTAGTGATCTTTTTAGAGCTGCCAACAACCATTTTGTTTTCTTGTGAAAAAGAAAACAACACAAAACGCTCTTCAAGTGCATGGACATTTGAGCTACAATCTCTCTCTAGTTTTAGTCCTAGACTAGACCTCATTAGTGCCAACCACAAGGAGAACTGGGTCTTTCATCATCCAAATTTCACATTGTTCAAGTGATTGAACGCATATTAAATTATAGAATAACAAGAGTTGGAAGGGACCTTGGAGGTCTTCTAGTCCAACCCCCTGCTCAAGCAGGAGATCCTATTGTTTCAGACAAATGATTGTTCAATCTCTTCTTAAAAACTTCCAGTTTTGGAGCCCTCAAAACATCTAGAGGCTAGTCGCTCCACTGATTAATTGTTCTAACTGTTGGGAAATTTCTCCTTAGTTCTAAATTGCTTCCCTCCTTGATGAGTTTCCACCCATTGCTTCTTGTCCTGCCCTCAGGTGCTTTGGAGAACAGCTTGACTCCCTCTTCTTTGTGGCAGCCCCTGAGATATTGCAACACTGCTATCATGTTTCCCCTAGTCCTTCTTTTCATCAAACTAGACATACCCAGTTCCTGCAACTGTTCTTCATATGTTTTAGCCTCCAGTCCCCTAATCATCTTTGTTGTTCTTAAGGCAAATCTAATGAGGATTATTCCTTTTTTAAAAATGTTTTATTAATTTTGTTTATATTCAGTCCTGTTTTCATCAAACAGTGTTGGCCTGGGTACAGTAATGTTTCATCAGTCATAATATTAACTTTTGTTATAACATTCACCACAATAATAGTAGTAGTACAATAACATAGTAATATAATCACATACTTAACATCCTCTTCTTTAACAATTCTCCTCATTAGGACTCCCTCTTTTAATTTCTCTTCCTTTCTAACTTCTGTCTTTCTTATCTAACCATCAGATCCCTATAAAATCAAGTTTATCCCATTTCAAAGAACAACAAAAAGTATAAGAAAAAGGAAAACTAAAGTAAAACAAAAAGATGAGGGGGGAGGGGAGTAGGAGAGAAAAATTGCTCAAAGTTACACCAGGGAAAGGGAAATCATCCCTTCATCATTTCTTGCCTGCTTCAGCCTTATTGTTGCTATGCTTTAAATAGAAAGCATTATTATTAAGGTAGAACTTTAAAAAAAAGTTCTATGAGCCTTGGTGGCGCAGCAAACTAAAGTGCTGTTAAAGTAGCACTTAGCTGCCAGCTGCCTGCAATTACTGCGAGTTCAAATCTCACCAGGCTCAAGGTTGACTCAGCCTTCCATCCTTCCGAGGTAGGTAAAATGAGGACCCAGTTTGTGGGGGCAATAAGCTGACTTTGTATAAAAAAGAACACCGCTTAAGGGGGGCCAAAAGCCCTACTAAGCAGGTATATACAAAAGTATGAAGGCTATTGCTTAACACATTGTAAGCCGCCCTGAGTCTCCGGAGAAGGGCGGCATATCAATCGAACCAATAAATAAACAATAAATAAATAAAAATATATCCAAGTTTAAAAATGATAACGTTCACTTTTTCTGATTGTTTTTTCCTCTTCTTTCTCTCTCTTTCTCTGTGGACTACAGATAATTTTGCAATCAATGCACAAATACAAGCCCCGAGTCCACATTATCATCCAGGATTCCCGGTTTGATCTTTCCCAGACCCCGTCTTTGCCTGCAGCTGGTGTTCAGACCTTCTCGTTTAAAGAAACCGAATTTACGACGGTCACCGCTTATCAAAACCAGCAGGTAAATTAACCTTCCAGGGATACAAGCAGGTTTTTGTGAGCAGATTGGTGAGAAGTATGATATTCACAGTTCTTCCTTTGTTGCTTGTCTGAAAAACATCCACAGATAACAAAACTGAAGATTGACCGCAATCCATTTGCCAAAGGATTTAGAGACCCCGGAAGAAACAGGTAAAAACAAACAAACTGCAGTTATTTAACTGACGGAGCTACGGATTGTTTAAAGACTTTTAAATGGAAAAAAGTACATGCTTTTGTTCATTAATTGCCTACATTATGAAAGAAACCTACATCATTAATGACAATTGCCTGTAGCTTTTCAGTTTCCCCAGGATACAGTAGTGGCCAAAATTGTGGAAACCTTTTGGGAAAAGTGTATTTTCTAAAACTAACTAATAACACCACTTTTTGGGGGGGAATAGTACCATAAAATTATATATCAATGGAAAGATAATTTAATCAAGAATGTAATGCAATAACTTTTAGGAAGGATTTGCTATTAGAATAGCAGTTACAGTCTAAAGAAGAAAAGTGAAACACGTAGAAAAACGAGATCTACAAAAATAATCACCATAGAAAAAATGAGATCTACAAAAATTATCACCATGTCAGTTAATACTTAGTTGGATAACCTTTAGCATGAATTATGACCTTACAACGTCTTCCCATGGAGTGAACCAAGTCTTTTAGTTTTGCAGCTGTTCTAATGTGAAACCAAGATTGAAGGATTGCTTCTTTTAACTGGGTTTTATTGCTGGGTTGCTTCTGACTAACACGTTTCTTTAGTCAACTTCATAGATTTTCAACTGGGTGAAGGTCTGGGATATTCCCAGGCCATTCCAGCAGTGGAATAGGATTATCTTGAAACTCAAAAAAAAAAAAAAAAGTGGTGTTATTAGCCATCAAACCTCAAAAATACACTTTCCCCAAAAGGTTTCCACAATTTTGGCCCCTACTGTACTTTGAAGGCACTATTGAAAGAGAATATTTGTAGCTCAGGGTTGAAATGAGGGATCCTTGGTGCTCTCTGAGCTTGGTGATTTTCTCGCAGATGTTTCATTACCAAACTAGGTAACATCATCAGTGCCAGTTTGAAGGACTGTCAAGATAGTACTTGTCTACAGAATGCTTTCCTGGGACTACCTGCCAGATTGTTTCTAGGAAATGAGACAGCTATGTCCTGACTTTGAAGACAGTTGCTATTTTTTAGTTGAGTAAATACATTTTGGAAATTGGATCTGAACTATAATACTGAATATGAAGGAAAAAACCCAATAGTTATTAGATTAGAAAGTTATGGTGGCGCAGAATTGCAGGCTAACTCTGCCGACTGCCAGCAGTTCGATCCTCAACCGGCTCAAGGTTGACTCAGCCTTCTATCCTTCTGAGGTCGGTAAAATGAGGACCCAGATTGTTTGGGGACAAGACGCTGACTCTGTAAACTGCTTAGAGAGGGCTGTAAAAGCCCTGTGAAGCGGTATATACATCTAAGTGCTATTGCTATGGCTACTGCTAAAAAAAGGGGTCAAATTAGGTTGATCTGTGATCATTGCGGGAGGCAATGGAGGATGAAAACAAGGTGTGTGTGTGGGGGGTTGTGCAGCCCCCCTGCGCCCTGTATTGGCCGGTAAAGTGCTGCAGAAAGCCATTTGAGCTGAAAATGGGGCAAAGGGGGCTGCATGAGATCCCCGTGCCCCATTTTGGATGGCAGGATGCTGCAGGAGGCATCCGTCCCGTGTTCCCCCACTCACCCCTCCAGCCTGCAGAGAAGCACTACAATGCTGATCCGGCCCTCGAAGAAATCCAGTTTGACACCCCTACACTAAATTTACTTGACTGGCAAAGATGCAGAGAAGAAGGCACAGATATTATGGTTTGAAGCTATACAGTGGTGAAATCCAATTTATTTTACTACCGGTTCTGTGGGCGTGACTTGGTGGACATGGTGTGGCTTGGTGGGCGTGGCTTGGTGGACGTGGCAGGGGTAGGATTCTGCAAAATCTCCATTCCCACCCCACTCCAGGGGAAGGATATTGCAAAATCTCCATTCCTACCCCACTCCAGGGGGAAGAATATTGCAAAATCCCCATTCCTACCCCACTCTGGAGCCAGCCAGAGGTGGTATTTGCCGGTTCTCGGAACTACTCAAAATTTCCACTACCGGTTCTCCAGAACCTGTCAGAACCTGTTGGATTTCACCCCTGCATTTGTACCTTATTATTTCATTTTGACCCCCAAAAAATGTGGTTAAATCTACCCGTGTGCTAATAATAATAATAATAATAATAATAATAATAATAATAATAATAATAATAATAATAATAATAATAATAGTAACCACTGGGAACATCAGGTTGAGAAAGTTTTAGAGAATGAGAAACTCAAGATCTTGTGGGACTTTAGGATTCAGACTGACAGGCACTTGGTCCACAACACACCTGACATAACAATAGTTGAAAAGAAAAAAGTATGGTTCATTGACATTGCAATACCTGGTGATGCATGGATTGAAGATAAACAGCAAGAAAAAATCACAAAGTACCGGGACTTGCAAATTGAAGTTGAGCGACTGTGGAAAAAGAAATCGTGTGTTGTCCCGATTGTAATTGGAGCCCTTGGAGCAATACCCAAAGGGCTACCCCGCTATTTAGAAATTCTAAATTTGCCGGACTTGAACATTTTGACTCTACAAAAAACCACCTTACTCGGAACAGCTTACATCCTCCGACGATACCTTAACAGTTCCTAGGTCCTTGGTTAGGACTCCAGCTGCTGAGCTATTAACCAGCCTCAAAGGCTGTGAATCTCACTAAAGATTAACCAATAAATTATTATTATTATTATTATTATTATTATTATTATTATTATTATTATTTTGTTTCTATACTGCCCTTCTCCTGAAGGACTCAGGGCAGTGTACAGCCTATTAAAAGCACAAAGACAAACAACAATTAAAATAATTTAAAATTATTAAATAATTTCGGCTCAATATTAAAACCCCCCAAAATTTAAAATATCCAATTTAAAATCATTACATTGATAGCCCGGCCTGGCGGAACAGCAGGGTCTTAAGGCACAGTGAAATACCCTGAGATATTTGAATGAATGAAGCTCTAGACATCTGCTCCAAGTTCCTCTCCAATGGCCTTGTTCCATGGGAATTGCAAATCTAATTTTAATTCTATCGTGTTGCAGAGGAGTTTTGGATGGACTTCTGGAATCCTATCCATGGAGACCTTCTCTGACCTTAGATTTTAAGCATTTCGGGACAGAACGTCCGAGTAAGTATTGCATCTTCAACGATCTTTTCTTTTCTTTTTTTTTCTCCTACATTTCTATGTGCGTCTTTAAAACTTTAGGCTGTTTTAGTTTAAAGAACTTCTTTTTAAAATGTTTGGGGCGTTTGGCTGCCAAGTGGGTCGTGAAACTGAGTTTCTTTTTCATCATCGTGGCAAAAAAGGGAACGAGTAAAACTTGGGACCCTGGAGCAGTTTTCCCCTTTGTGAATGATACCGTCTTTGGCTGCCTTATCCTGAGCTGGACTGATTAATCAAAGGGGAATATTTGTTCCCTTTTTAAGACTTGGGATTTTTAATTGATGAATGTAATTGCTCAAAGCTAGCAGCCTGGATAAATATCAAGGCTTATATTCTGAGAGAGGCAATATATGTAGAACATTAATTTTACTTTAAACTATCCCCTCTCCCCTCCTCTTCCCTTCCCTTCGCTTCCCTTCCTGCCCCTCCCTCCCCTTCACTTCACTTGACTTCCCTCCTCTCTCGTCCCCTCCACTCTCCTCCCCTCCCCTCCTCTCCCCTCTCCTCTCCTCTCCCTCGCCTTCCCCTTCCCTAACCCTAATTCCTTCACTTCACAACTTCTCTTCCCTTCCCTTCCCTTCTCTTCCCTTCCCTCCTCTCCTCTCCTCTCCCCTAACCCTAACCCTAACCTTCACTTCACTTCCCTCCCCTTCCCCTTTCTTCTCTTTCTTTTTCTTTCCTCCCCTTCCCTTCCCCCTTTCTTCTCTTCCTTTTTTCTTCCCTTCCCTTCCCTTCCCTCCTCTCCTCTCCTCTCCTCTCCCTAACCCTAACCTAACCCTAACCCTAACCCTAACCCTAACCCTAACCCCTTCACTTCACTTGACTTCCCTCCCCTCCCTTCCCTCCCCTTCCCTTCCCCTTTCTTCTCTTTCTTTTTCTTTCCTCCCCCCTCTCCTCCCCCTTTCTTCTCTTTCTTTTTATTTCCTCCCCTTCCCTTCCCCTTTCTTCTCTTCCTTTTTTCTTCCCTTCCCTTCCCTTCCCTTCCCTTCCCTCCTCTCCTCTCCTCTCCCCTAACCCTAACCCTAACCCTAACCCCTTCACTTCACTTGACTCCCCTCCCCTTCCCCTTTCTTCTCTTTCTTTTTCTTTCCTTCCCCTCTCCATCCCCTTTCTTTTCTTTCTTTTTATTTCCTCCCTTCCCTTCCCCCTTTCTTCTCTTCCTTTTTTCTTCCCTTCCCTTCCCCCCTTCCCTTCCCTTCCTCTTTTCTTCTCTTTCTTTTTTCTTCCTTCTCCTCCCCTCCCCTCCCCTTCCCTGGATGACTGAGATAAAAATGTAGAAATCTATGGGATTGTAGTTAGCAATCCCATACAGTCTAGTGTGATTCAGATCGAACCTGGATAGATCCACTTTCAAGTCGTTTGCAAGGAAGATCGTTTGTCAGCCAACCAGAGTCACTGAGAGTGAGTGGGCAGCCGTATAAATCCAGTAAAGAAATGATCAAATAAACCCAATAAATCCAACAAACAAAGAAATAAATCCAATAAGTAAATAGATACATCCGATAAATAAATAAATACATCCATTTGAGCCAGTTTCCTTTTTTCTTTTTTAGCTTAAGTGACTTCAGTGCAGTGATGTGCCAGTAAGACAATATAGGCTATGTTGTGTTCTTGGAGGAAATGACATGATTTGGATGCCAATTAAATAATATAATATAGTATCAAAAATAGGATGACAGCACAGGGGGTGCGTGCATAATGAGTCATTCTCAAAATGGTTGGGCATGGGATGAAGGATGCCTATCAGAAGGGTAGATGGCATGAACTTCAGCCAGGAAACAATTCAAGAAAGAGCCACCATATGGTTCCAAATTTGTCAGAAGATCAGCCTTTGTGTCCATTCGGTCCACCATTCCCATCTAGATGAAGAATGTTTTTCATTTGGACCACAGACCCTGGATGATTGTTGGAATAATAATACGTGTGCCTGGACAAGTATTTCTTCTACTACGTAGCTTGGTTCTCTGTTGGTGGACCAGATGTTCAGCAGATGTCCTCTTTTGCCAGAAGTAGGCAAAGATTTATGTGCGTGTGGCATTGCTGATGCCAACCTTGTGAGTCAAGCATGGTGCTTCTTCCAAATGCACTTGGGCTGTGGAGACCAGATGTGTACAACTGCCTTTCCTTTCAAGAACTATATTCTCTATGGGGCAGATTCAGACATGACAAGATGAGCAGAAATCTCCTAGCAAAGACTCAGTCCAAATTCATTTGCACTGTATTATTACATTTGTAATAATGCCTATATCTTTCCACAAAGAAAGCAGAGTTAGGCTTTTATAATGAGAGAGAGCGGGAAAGAAAGAAAGAAAGAAAGAAAGAAAGAAAGAAAGAAAGAAAGAAGAAAGAAGGAAGGAAGGAAGGAAGGAAGGAAGGAAGGAAGGAAGGAAGGAAGGAAGGAAGGAAGAGCCTTGGTGGTGCAGCAGACTAAAGTGCTGTTAAGTAGGACCAGCTGCCTGCAATTACTGCAAGTTCAAATCTCACCAGGCTCAAGGTTGACTCAGCCTTCCATCCTTCCGAGGTAGGTAAAATGAGGACCCGGATTGTGGGGGCAATAAGCTGACTTTGTATAAAAAAGAACACCACTTAGGAGAGGCCAAAAGCCCTACTAAGCAGGTATATACAAAAGTATGAAGGCTATTGCTTAACGCATTGTAAGCCTCCCTGAGTCTCCGGAGAAGGGCGGCATATAAATCGAACCAATAAATAAATAAATAAATAAATAAATAAATAAATAAATAAATAAATAAATAAATAAATAAATAAACAAGGACGGAAAGGAAAGGAAAGGAAAGGAAAGGAAAGAAAGAAGGAAAGTGTTGGAAGGGAAAGGAAAGGAAGAAGGAAAGTATAAGAAGGGGAGGGAAAGGAAAGGAAGAAGGAAAGTATAAGAAGGGAAGGGAAAGGAAAGGAAAGGAAAGGAAAGGAAAGGAAAGGAAAGGACAGACCTGTAAAATCTTGAAAATAAGCCAGTTTTATTTTGGCACCTAAGCCTCAACACAGCTCTGTTTCCTTTCCTGTTTCTCCCTCCGGCTTCCTTCTTATTTCCGCAAGAATATTGTGGGGCCACCGAAAGTTCTCTCTGAGGTTGTTATCCCACACATCTGGTGAAGTGAATTGAGAAAGCCTGAAACACATGTGACACAAAAGATACTACAAGACTCTTGTTTGTTCTAGGGCAGTCCACAACTGTACAGCCTGTTGAAACATTCACCCTCAAAAATAATACAAATGTAGGATTTGAGTTTGCTGTTTCACATGGTAATAGAAAAATAGAATTTAACATTGCCAGCAAACAATTTACATACATTTCTTTTTCTTAAAATGCCCCTTGAGGAGATTTTGTCTAAAGGAAAAATGGGAAAATCTATTCGGTGTGTGTAATATTTGCTCAGGGTTTTTAAAAAAATTATTATTATTATTGGCAGTGGGAAGGCATTGCTTCTGATTGTTATCGGGTTGTTTATCTATCTATCTCATCTACTATCTATCTATCTATCGATCATTTATCTATCTCATCTACTATCTATCTATCTATCTATCTATCTATCTATCTATCTATCTATCATCTATCTATCTATATCTAATCTAATCTAATTATCTATCTAAATCATCTATCTATCTAATTATCTATCTATCTAATTATCTATCTATCATCTATCTATCTATCATCTTTCTATCTATCTGTCTGTCGATCTATCTATCTATCTAATTATCTATCTATCTTCTTTCTATTTATCTATATCTATCTAATCTAATTATCTATCTATATCTATCTATCTATCTATCTATATCTATCTATCTATCTATCTATATCTATCTATCTATCTATCGTCTTTCTATCTATCTCTGTCTATCTATCATCTTTCTATTTATCTATATCTATCTATCTAATCTAATTATCTATCTATCTATCTATCTATCTATCTATCTATCTATCTATCTATCTAATTATCTATCTATCTATCATCTATATCTAATTATCTATCTATCATCTCTATCTATTATCTATCTATCTATCTATCTATCTATCTATCTATCTATCTATCTATCTATATCTATTTAATCTAATCTAATTATCTATATCATCTATCTATCTATCTAATTATCTATCTATCTAATTATCTATCTATCATTTATCTATCTATCATCTTTCTATCTCTCTATCTGTCTATCTATCTATCTAATCTATCTATTTATCTATCATCTTTCTATTTATCTATATCTATCTATCTAATCTAATTATCTATCTATCTATCTATCTATCTATCTATCTATCTATCTATCTATCTATCTAATTATCTATCTATCTATCATCTATATCTAATTATCTATCTATCTAATTATCTATCTATCATCTATCTATCTATCTATCATCCTATCTATCCATCCATCCATCCATCCATCCATCCATCTATCTGATTTCTATAGCCACCCATCTCAGCAGAAGACTCTGAGCAGTTGCAGTGCTCCATGGTCACTTGACACAATTTATGATGATTTTTGCCAGAAATCACCATTTCCAACCCCCCAAAAAATGCCCTCATTGACTTGATTCATGATGGCTGCATTCACTTTACAACCGAGGCATTGGCTCAATGACTACTGTAAAAAAAAAAGGGTGCAGAATCGGATCGGCCGCATGGGTGACTTGACTTACAACAGTCATGACTTGTGATGGAAATTCCAGATTCCATTACAGTCATGAGGACTATCTACACACAGTAAAATAGGTCTATAATATATCCTTTCCCTGTGTCAATTCTATTCAATTGTTTCAAAAAGAAAATTTACAAATTTTTAGAAGCTAATATACTGTACGTTTGGAGATCGGGATAGCAACCCTGCTTATCCTGGAATGGGATAGGAAATATTTATAAGTGTTTTGGTTGACCAGTTTGGATGAGTAGAGTTACTTCAATGCAGGGGTGAAATGCTCTTGTTCGGACCGGATCGCCCAATCCGGTAGCGATGGCAGCGGGTGGTTCGGAGAACCGGTAGCAAAAATCCCTGCACACCCCCCACATGCCCAGCTGAGCCGCACGATATCAGAGGCTTTTTTTAAAAAACTTTTAAAAGCATTTTTTCTACAACTTTTTCTGCCAAAAAAATGCTTTTAAAAGTAAAAAAAAAGCCTCTGATGATCGCGCGGCTCAGCTGGGATCGTCAGAGACTTTTCAAAGCATTTTTTTTCTGCAACCTCTTCCGCTGAAGAGGTGGTTAAAAAAATGCTTTGAAAAGCCTCTGCCAATCAGGCAACAAAGCTGGGATCGTCAGAGCCTTTTCAAAGCATTTTCCGCTGAAGAGGTTGCAGAAAAAAATGCTTTAAAAGTCTCTCTGACGATCCCAGCTGAGTTGCCTGATGTCAGAGAAACTTTTCAAAGCATTTTTTTAAAAGCCTCTCTGATGATCCCAGCTGTGTTGCCTGATGGGCAAAGGCTTTTCAAAGCATTTTTTTTTGCAAAAAAGTTAAAAAAAAAAAGTTGGCCACACCCACCCAGTCACATTACCCCTCCCCCCCGACCAAGCCACGCCCACAGAACCGGTAGTAACAAATTTTCCATTTCACCCCTGCTTCAATGCCTGGAAATACTTTGCCATCCAAAGAAAGGGAACCTTCCACGGGGACCATAATTGAAAAAATCTCAAGTTTTCCCACAATAAATGTTTCCAATTTCGATGATTCTGAATATTATGAAAGGTGCAGAACAAAATTCTGTTTGGTTTGCTGTCATTTCATAATGTCATTTTACTCGCTTTATCCTAGGTGGGAGTTCTGGTTCGTCTCCTGTAACACCCTCTGGGGGAACCCCATCACCTCTCAGCTCCCTCCTTTCTCCGGCAGGTTCTCCTCCTACTTTTCACCTCTCTGCAACCAATCTTGGCATGCCCTGCCCGGATTCTTACCTGCATCATCTTGGTCTACCCATCTGCTACAAGATTTGCCCTACCAATCTTTTAAGACAGCCGTCCCTGATGTTCCCAAACCACCATAAGTTGGGAAGTGCCACCGGTCCTCACTTTTTCCCCCACTTCATGGTGGAGGTGCCCACTTTGTCTTCTCTGAGCATTGGCAACGTTAGAAGTGGCAAAGCAGAAGATCTAGATGGAGTGGTGTCCCAGGGGCCCAGTTCTGCTGGCCAGATGTTGTACGGCTTGCATGCGTCTGGAAACATTTTCCCGTCAGCGCCCGTTGCCCGAGAAACTTTAAACTGTGCCTTGCATCCCCCTTATGGGTTCTACGGTTATAACTTTTCGGTGCCTTCTAGGTTAATGAATTCACTGAGCCACTTCAAAGTGAGCGATGGCATGCCCCCTCTGCTCCAGGACAGCAGGTGTAATCATTCTCCCTGGACATCCACAGTTAACCACTGCCTCTAAAAAAAACAACTTCTAATCTTTCAAAAGTCAGGCCACAGATGATTTCTGGACCACATCCTTCACCAAACACTAATGGACTGCAATGTTTGGAACGTTGCAAAACACAAGGAAATGGACGAAGTGGCTTCCTGGAATTTTATTCCTGTTCATTGACAGGGAAAACTCTGTGCCTGCCTCAGTGGGTGGGTAATAAATTGGAGAATAAAGAAGATGAACTTTGATGGAGGTTTGCAAGTTCCTTTGCCAGGATGATGGAGGGTGAAACATACTTAAGGTCCACAACAGGTAGATAATATTCAGAAGTGGCTCAGACGGACATCTCCTTAATTCACCAAACGATAAAAAGTTGGTGGAAGAAGCACAACACAACGAGACTCGCAAGAAATTATTTTGGGGAGGAGGAAAAAAACGCTTCTGAGAAACCTTAACCAAAACTCTAAGCAAGCTTTCCTCACTGACTTTCTTGAGAACATCTGATAAAAGAGATAAAAAGCACTATGAACCAATTAGCGTCAGAGATGTTCTCATATGTGTAGGAAAGAGACGGTCATAAAAGCTAATTTATTTGGTTGCCTGGCTTAAAAGTAAAGCTGTTCTTTGAATATTTGCACTTTGCAGCAGAATTGAAATGTCGTGTCGTGATTGAAATGTAACGGTGATCCAAATATTCATGAGATTTTTGTTATCTTTCATCTGAGAATTGTTTTGAGAATATCGCTTAATCCTGAAGTTGGTTTCTTGGCTCTTTTAAAGAGCTCATGCTAGTCGTTCTTTTCGTCAACGGTTCCCTGAGTAAAAGCACTTCATTGTCTTATCTCCTTCCATATTAACCGCTTATTGTCAACTTCAAAGTATTCTGCAGCTTTGAATTATTGTTATTGATATTATTATATGTACTGCAAGGAGTCATTTGCATATGGTTAGGGCTATTTCTGAATGTTCTTTCCTTGTGTATATATGATCCATGATCTTCTTCTACATAAATTAAAGAAATATATTGTGTATTTGGGAAAAAAAAAAATCTAGGTCAGAAAACTTTTCTGATGTCTACACAAGTAGTCAACTATGGTCCTGATCAGTGGTGAAATCTAAAATTTATTACTACCAGTTCTGTGGGCGAGGCTTGGTGGGCGTGGCCATTTTTTTTTTTTTACTTTTAAAATCATTTTTTTCTACAACCTCTTTGGCTGAAGAGGTTGTAAAAAAATGCTTTCAAAGCCTCTGACGATCCCAGCTGACTTGCCTGTTTGGCAGAAGCTGTATTTTTTTTAAAGCCTCTGATGATCCCAGTTGACTTGCCTGATCGGCAGAGACTTTTTTTCCTTTTAAAAACATTTTTTCTATCACCTCTTCAGCCGAAGAGGTTGTAGAAAAAATGCTTTTAAAAGCCTCTGATGATCCCAGCTGAGCCGTGCGATCATCAGAGGCTTTTTTTTTTTTAAGCATTTTTTCGGCCAAAGAGGTTGTAGAAAAAATACTTTTAAAAATAAAAAAAAAGCCTCTGATGAGTGTGCGGATCAGCTGGGATCATCAGAGGCTTTTAAAAGCATTTTTTCTACAACTCTTCAGGGGGGCAGGGATTTTTGCTACCGGTTCTCTGAATCACCCGCCTCCATTGCTACTGGATCAGGCGATCTGGTCCGAACCGGAAGCATTTCACCCCTGGTCCAGATGTATCTAAATTTGGTCCCCTATGGGCTTTTTGTTGCTGTTGTTGAAAAGGTTTTCTTAAAAACTTTCACTTTCCTGAACTTATTCTTCACTGCCTTTTCCCCCAAACCTCCTCTAAACATATATTATTCTCAGATTTTTTTAAAAAGAAAATAGATTTTACAGATGTTTGAATATACCCGAGGATTGCAAAGTAGTAAAAGGGTAATATAATAAGAATGTTTGTAGTGTTGCAATCTTTGCAGCTGTCTTTGCTTCCTGATCCTGGGAGGTGGTGGGTGGGAATATCAAGGCCTGGGGATGTCTTCTCAAAAAACTTGATTGAAATGCAGGAAGCCCAGGAGGCTGTAGAGTCATGGATGAAGGTTGTGCAATGAAAGACATACCTTCCGACTAAGGTAATGTGAGAAGCTATGCAAGTCCCCGGATCAGAGTTTCAGTCTACTGAAAATAGAAGTCAAAGGTACCATATTTTTTGGACGATCAGATGCATTCCCACCCACCCCCTAAAAAGTGGGTGCAAATTAGTACTGGGTTCCACTTACCTTTGCTATCAGTTCGGAATTGTGCGTGCATGCATGCAGCTCTTCTGCACATGCGCAAAACCTTCTGCACATGTGCAGAGCATCCGTGATGACATCTGGGTGAATGGGTGGAGCCTCTCATCGCCGCCACTACTGGTTCGCCCAAACTGGGGCAAACCAGTAGAAACTCACAACGGGTGCAAATATCTGTGCGTCTTATAGAGCGAATGTTGCTGAAGCCCCGCCCACCCACCGGGTCCCACCCTTCAGCCCTTGCCTCCCAGCAATCTGCCTCCTTGCAGCAAACAGCCTGGTCAGCTTCAGCACAGCCTGATTTAGCACGAGCAGCTGATTGGTGGTTGGATCGGCCTCCCGGGATACCGCTGATCATCTGTTCCATGCTGCGGGTATCATCGCTGCCCATCACCGCTGCCGCCTATCACCACCTCCGCGCGCCCCATTTTTGGCCTCTGTGTGCCCCATTTTCAGCTTCTGTGATCCTGTTTTCAGTCTGTTCCAGGCGGTGGAGATGGCCACTGCCGCCACCTATTGCTGCTGATCGCCGCCACTGTTAGGCAGCAATAGGCAGTGGTGGCGAACCCCGCCACCTGGAACAGACCGAAAACAGGATGCATGGAGGCCGAAAATGGGGTGCATGGAGGCGGCGATAGGTGGCGGTGGTGATCGGTGGCGATGGCGGCGATGGGTGGTGGCGATCCCCGGAGCTGAAACAGCTGATAGGCGGTATTCCAGGAGGCAGATCCAACCACCAATCAGCTGCTCATGCTAAATCAGGCTGTGCTGAAGCTGACCACACTGTTTGCTATTTGCTGCAAGGAAGTAAATCGCTGGGAGGCAGAGGCAGATTTTTTTCCCCCTTGTTTTCCTCCCCAAAAGATAGGTGCGTCTTATAGTCCAGAGCATTTTACAGTCCAAAAAATATGAGTGTTTTGCTTGCCATCAGATTAAAGAATAAGATGACATAGAAAATGAAGAAAGCATAGTCCAGTATAGAACAGAGGTTCATGCCTAGGTGCAGGGGGAAAAAAGATACAGCTGAATAGAATGCAAATGAAGGAGAGGAAAGTTGGAGGGGAAGGGAGGAAGGGAGGGAAGGAAGGAAGGGGGTGTAGAAGGGAGGAGAGGAGAGGGGAGGGGAGGGGAGGGGAGGGGAGGAAAGGGAAGGGAAGGGAAGGAAAGGAAAGGAAAGGAAAGGAAAGGAAAGGAAAGGAAAGGAAAGGAAAGGAAAGGAAAGGAAAGGAAAGGAAAGGAAAGGAAAGGAAAGGAAAGGAAGGAAAGGCAGTCAGAGAAAAGTGAAATGGTCAGGTGTGTTTGAAAAGTCCACCTTGGACATCTTGCCTATGTCACCCTCAATCCTGGAGCATCACTAGGAGCACGATACAAATGGCCTTCTGAAATTTTCCACAAACTTTATAGGCAGATAAGTTCAGTAGATGATTTCCTAAAATTTACCCCTGGAGAGTAAAAAGCTATTTAGTAGTTCCTCATGGGCTAGAGTATCTCTCCATGTTGACCAAAAGCACTATTTTAAAATCACTTTGGAAGGAACTCCTTTCTAATGTCTTCTCTTGGGATTGAACGGAAGCGTGGGAAGCCAAGGCGGGAATAGATGATGGGAAGAAAATTGTACATGTTGCTATGGCAACTTCATCATCAAACTAGGAGAAGAAACTTACTTTCTGACTCAATTTCCTCGTAGTACTGTTGAATGCAAGTTGTACTCCCTCCAGTAACTAGCAACCCCTCGGGAGCTGCAATGACATCATGGGGTCCACGAAGACTTAAAGAAATGTTATGATTTAAATCTGGAATTAAGTCTTGGAGGTCCGTGGCCACAAAAGGTATTTTTGGTGAAGAAAAGATTGAGAACCACTGCTCTAGGTGAATGATCATTGATTGAAAAGCAACATGATTGGAATTAATGCCATCCATTTCTAGATACCGTGTTTCCCCGAAAATAAGACCCTGTCTTATATTTTTTTTGAACCCTGAAATAAGCGCTTGGCCTTATTGCCATGCGCTCAAAAGCCCAATTGGGGCTTATTATCAGGGGTTGTCTTATTTGGGGGAAAACAGGGTAGGTGACATCTTTGCAGGTCCTGAGAAGAGATGAGATCCAAGGCTGCTGGAGTTTCTCTTCCGGTGTCCACAGATGAAATCCAGCAGCCTAGGAAGCTCAAACCAAGCATGATAAGATTGTCTTCCCCTGTCATGATTGTCTGCTGTCAAATTATACTTCATTTCCCAGCCCGGAGGTTCCATGCCATCATCCTGATGAGAAACTACTGAGAAGATATCTTCGGCGAATTTATCTTGGTCTACAACTCTTCACTTACGCAGATCATCATTTTATCGCCTACACTTTTGGGGATCACAGACTAAACACACAGAAATATGTGTGTGTGTTTGTGTACACACACACACACATGATTCTGATTCTGATTAAAGGCAGGATGTAAATCTAATCATATCATTATATTCTAATATAATCATTCATATACACATATACATACATACGGTGTGTGTGTATATATATATATATATAATACTTCCTCCTCCTGTTTTGTCCCATGACAACTTAGTGAAGTGTGTGTGGGGGGGAGAGAGGCAAGCTTGTGGCTGAGTAGGAATAGGCTGAGTAGACGTCATGGGTCAGTGGTTAAAGATGCAGAGCTTGTCTGCTGGAAAACTGACAGCTCAGGTTCGAGACCCAAGCACCACGCAATGGGGTGAGCTCCCGTTCCTGCTTCAGCTCCTGCCCACCTAGCAGTTCGAAAGCACGCGAGTAGATACATAGGTACCATGTCACTGGGAAAGTAACAGTGTTCTATACACCTTTGGTGTTGTAGCCAGTTCTCCTCCATTTATCAGCTGAGCCAGGGGGAGGAAAATGGGGAGGGGGATTTTCCTGCCTGTCATTCTTCCCTCAGTCTATACTGAGCTTGAGGAATGGATGACAGGCAGTGTTTTTTTCTGTCGAAGTACCTGGTCTACCCCAATATGGGAGGGACAAACTATGTTTGTCGTGATAGCGACTGCTCCTGGATTGGAGCTGAAAGGCGACAGGGAAGCAGTATGCTCCCTCTCATATTGGGGTAGACCAGGTGCTTCGGCAGAAAAAAACACTTATTTTCAAGGCGGTCTTACTTTTTTTGAGGTGCAGCAGGCCAGACTCAGTGAGCTGGACGTGCCATGGACGCACTGTCGGCTACATTTCAAACCTTCAGCGCTCGGAATGGAGGCTTTTTGGAGAACGGGAGGAAAATGGGGAGAGGGATTTTCCTACCTGTCATTCTTCCCTCAGTCTGTACTGAGCTTGAGGAATGGATGACAGCAGGAAAATCCCCCTCCCCATTTTCCTCCAGTTTACCAAAAAGCCTCCCAAAAAGAGGGGAAAAACAGAGCAGATATATATATATATATATATATTTGTTTTCTGAGGTTTTCGCGGGTATTTGTATGTAGGTCTTTGGTTATTTGGTTTTCTCCCACGTAAAATTGGAAGTGTCTTGGCGACGTTTTGTCGAAACGTCGCCAAGACACTTCCAATTTTACGTGGGAGAAAACCCGAATAACCAAAGACATACATACATACATACATACATACATACATACATACATACATCCATACATACACATATATAAACTTCATTTCTACACCTCTGTTCTCAGAGCAGAGAGTGGAACCAGCATGTCTGAAGAATGTCCAGTGAAACTCAAATGGAATTGTTTCCTGAATCACTCCATTTTTTTCCCCAAATACTTGAGGACTAGAAGTCTGTACATTTTCAAAT